CAGCTTTCAGTGTTTTGGAAGCTTTTTACACATGTCAAAATAGGAAACCAAATCCTGGTTGGAGCACTCTGCACTAATCCATTACCTCGTGTGAGGCTGACATCGTGTTCAAAGGGAGTCATTTCCCCCTCCATATGAAAGGTGGGATCTTTTCAAACTTTGTTTTATGCCCTGTCACTAAGTTCAGCAATGCTTTTGTGAGAGGTGTGTGAAGCACAAGTGGCAAAGCTGATAAAAGCCAGGCCAGCACTGAGTGGAAAAGTCAGGTGTAGGGGTTGAAATTTGAAGATGCATCTCCAAGCAGAGCCAGGCAAGGTTTGACTCTGGAATTTTTGCATATGGAACTTATCTTTTCATGCTCTGACTCTGCAGAGGTAGGGCTGGGGATGCTGGAGAGAGGGGGAAGCTGATGGTCATGACAGGTGACCCCCCCAGCTCTGACTGATGAGGTTCTTCTTTAAAGGGAGAACAGGTTTTTCCAAGTGCTTTCCCGAGATAAGCCTTTAATGGCAGTGCTGGGAACTGGCTGGTACCAGGACCACCCAAACCTGCCTTGGGAACTGCTGGGGCTGGTTATGTACCTTTGCCAGAGCACTGCTTAAGATCTGGGAGTGTGGAGAGCAGATGGCAGGATATACAGTGGATAATTTAGGAATGCTCTGATGCCATTTGCATATTGATACCACTAAGAAATTTTAACATCTGCAGAGAAAGAGTTGGTTATTTTACACAACTTAATTGTAATTATTAATTTATTACAATCATGAGATATTAATCGATTTCCTACAAAAGGAATGAAGGAATATTCGTTTTATATTTTTTGTATAAATAGGGGAATTCTTGGTTTGAATAAAAGCAGCTGCAAAACTGGTACCAACCCATCCATCCCTATTTCCCCAACACATCCATCCCTATTTCACCAACACAGCTATCCCTGTGTCACCAACACATCCATCCCTATTTTATTTATCTACTGTGCCAAATTATCTACATTATTTTTTTTATGAAGACCTGTAATCTTGTCAACTTAGTGTGGGCCAGGTCCCACTGCCAGCACACCTGTATTCTGTTTACTCTTCCTGGTATCCCATTTTTCCCCTCTCTCTTGGCATGTTTTCATGAGCTCCTTTAATATGTACTTTGGCAAAGCTTCCTCATCCTCCCCTTGCTTTTCTTGGGAAGTTTACATTAATTATTTTTTCCACTTGTTTCCCTCCTCAGCTTTTTCTCTGTCCGTGATCCTGCTTTGGAGGGTGTTTTCCGAAGTCTGACATGATACATCTCATGGACACCCATGGGGAAAATTTTCTCTGATCGTTATTAGCTTTGGACTAAGATTTATTTCTTGTGAGGTCACGTTTCAGATCATTCACTCTTCCCTAAATTGTTGACTGCTTTTCATACTATGGCAGGCACAGGCCACTAGAGGACTCTGTTTGCCATCATAAAGCAGCGCTCTGGAATCAGGCTTTGCTGTTCTGTATTTTTAAGGTATATAATTTTACAGAGTGTACAAATATACTCGTTTACACAACTGTACTCGTTTACAGGATGCCATTCATCAGTCAGAAGTGCAGGCCAAATGATGGTGAAGCCCCTGCAGAAAATGTGGTCTGTGCTCTGCTTCCTTTAGAACAAAAATACAATATCTGGGCAAATCTGCCCATCTCTCCATGTGAGTATTTGCTGCAATATTGAGGTCCTGCCTGCAGTTCTGGCCTGCACTTCCTCGTTTGGTTCTGGGCTTTCAAAATACCCCAGTGATGTAAGTAAGGAGATTTCAGAAGCTCTCAAGGATTAATGATTTTTAAAACCTTTCCCCCAGCTTTTCCCACTGGACTCTGACAGGAAACTTTCCCATCTTGAAAGGTGCGTTGGATTTGGATCCGTTCCAGAGACTTTCGAATCAGTTTTCAGGGTAAGGGGATCCCTGCTGTAATTTTGAAGGAAAGGAGCCAGAATAAAGCAGATTATATCTCTGTTGTCTTTGTGCAGACAATAGAAATAATTGTGATTCAGAGCCATTATTTGGAGGTTTTTCCAATCCGAGTTTCTCCCAGAGCAGCAGAGGTTGTGCTGTCAGTCTCCCTGGCTGTTTGCCCACCCAACAGAACATTGTCCTGCTCACTGCAGCCAAGGGAAAGCTGCCAGGGGGGCTCTGCCCTCTGTTTGCTTTCAGTCACAGCAGAGCCCAGCAGAGGCACGAGGGCACTTGGGCATCCGGGCAGGATTTGCAGCTCATCAGCACGAAAGGGGGAAGGGAACTCGATGGAAAATAACCAAACTACCCCCGGGTTCCTCAGTCCTGCAGGGAGTGCTCAGAGTCTGCTCAAGTGAGCACAGAAAGCCCTCAGAGAACCTCCTGCTAATGGCTGGGTTTGTTTTATAATCCAGTGACATGTTGGAATGTTCTACTCCCGTGAACTCACTCTTTTAAAAAGAGCAGATACTTGGCATTCTAAGAACATTTCAGCACAATCTACTTCAGGCAAGTCAAGGCAAAAAAACAGCCCGGGATGGCAACAGCTCCTGCTCTGAGGAGGAGCAAATGAAGCGAGCAGAGAGGGGTCTTCAGTGGGGTTTTAGTGTCTGTGGTGCCTTCCTCCTTTCCTTCTTGTTTGTTTGGGCCTTGCTTAGTCCTTACCAACAGCCTACAGGTTTGGAAGGCAATTTAGAAATTAGTTCAAGTAGGAATGATTCGGTAGCTATTGATGCAGTGTTTTGATGCCTTTCATAAAATCAGTCAGTTCTGCAGTCTGTGAAAAAAGAGAAAAACTTGAGAACATTTTTCTTAGATTTTTATGATCGGTAATTTTTATTAGGTTGTTCTGGACTTACTGGAATTCTGTGAGTAGCTGAGGGTTTCTACAGAAGAATGGCACAAGAAAACAAGCAAACCCCCTTAAAGAATCCATTTTGAGTATTGAAAGCATTGAATTAGATGCTTTCTTTGGTTTTAAGAGACAGAGCACAGGTATTATAGCCCAGACTGGGTCATTTTCTATCCACATTTCCTGACCATAACTTGTGCTTATCCAATTTCTTCCTTTTGAGAATGTACTTGTGTCTTTTTATGGACACAACACATCTACTGCCTTTGAAGTCTGTAATGGAATAGGAAATAATCTTTTCTTTTGTTCCATTTCTTATCCCTGCTCTATTGAGCACAATGTAAGGGATGCACAAAGGAACTCAGCAGAAGTATTTAAATACCACTTGTGTCTTGAGTTGAGTTCTGGTCACCCTTGCCCTGGGATGCAGAGGGTGGGAGCATCTTTCAAGTAAGAAATAACAGTTTTTAATATTCCCAGAAGCTTCCAATGAAGAAAAACATTAATTGATGAATTTCAGGGATTTCTTGCTGGACTTTGAATATGAAAATACCTTGACATGGGCAGTGCCACTTTATGTCAAGGCAACCAGCATCATTTTTAAATATCATCTAAAAACCCACAGTCAATAGTTGTGAGTAGATCAATGTCACAAGGATTTATGGAGATGGGAAAACTCCCCAGTCATCCGTGGCTGCCTGTCTTTGATATCAGAGTTGGCAGAAGGAATAACAATTCTGTTTTGCAACAAGTGTCATGATTTCCAGATTTATTTTTACTTCAGACTGAAATAAACCCAAGGCTACTCTTTTTTTAAATACTGACCTGAAACTCTCCAGGTTTCAGATCAAAAATATCAAGTTTGCTCCACCTAGAAGGGAGTTTGGCCTGCACATATCAAAAATGTTAATGTCTGTAGTCCCTGTAGAATCTCTCAGCTTTCATGAAACAGAGTTTCACTGATCAAGTGACTCCTGTCACCTCATTCAGACAGAGGCATTTTTATACACTGAACAAGGGCTTAATATTATGCTAAAGTGAGGGGTGTGATTAATTATTGCCTAAACACTCCTATTTCCCAAAGGGCCACTTGACATCCCCTCTCTCATCGCTCTGCCTTTGTCTCTGCCTGGTTTGGGCCTTCCTTGGGGAGTGGAACTTGTTTGGTTGGTGATTTCTCATGGGCACTTCTACAGCACAGTCAAATCACTGTGCAGACCTCTCACACACGCTGCAAATGGGGCTGACAGCAAATTATTTGATTGCCTAACAATATATAATAAATATAAATAAATACAAGTGCCAGCACCGCAGCAGAAGGGCTCATTTTAATTTACAGACATCCCCCCTGAAAGTGGGAAATGCAGGAATGCTGTGTGGGAATGATGCTCTGTGTGTTTGCAGCTCCCTCCCTGTGGCTGTTTGTGTGATTGGAAGTTACAGCAAATGCTGGCCCAGGTTTCAAGGGGAGGGTTTGTGATCCATGAGCAGCACCAGGGGCTCATTTGGCTTTCCCAAGCCCAGGGACAGCCATGGCTGCTCATGGATCCGTGGGCTGGTGCCATCCTGGGACTGCAAAACCCAATCCAGAGTCTCTCTGAGCTGCAGCTCTTGCCCAGATGGAGCCACAGTGACTTTACCAGGGTTGTGTTTTTGCACAGGAGGGAAGTTGCTCAGCCCTTGCTGGTCCCTAATGAGACAATGGGGTGTCCAGGGAATAATTTCTGAGACAATTCCGTAAAAAGATGGGGCAATGAGCCACAGAGCTGCTGTTGGATTGTCCTGGGGGAATCTCAGATGCACAACTCCCCTCCCATCTGCTACAGACTGTGCCTGGAGCTCACTCTTTGCCTGCCCTAAGTGAGGCAGTTCTGAGGTGCCTGGGAGCAGCTGCCTGGTGGTTTCACTTGAAACTGGTTGCAGAGAGAATGTTTCCTGCATCATTACCTAGTCCTCAGCTTGTAGTATTGTGTTCACAGCCAGGAAAAATGACTTTAGGGGTGTGCTGTAAAAGTGAGTGTGAGGAGGAACTTGGCCAAAACCAGAGTAAATTTTAATAGCAATCACACAGCTAATCCAAGCTGAGCACCTTCACAAATCGACACTTGATGTCTGTTATGTTTTCTTATTCATTATGTCAGATATGTTGCTTTTCTCATCTTTAAACAGGGTTGGAAGTGCTTTACAAAACTGGGTGTTTTGTTCCTTGAGCACTGGAGTGAGTTCAGTGGTTCCCCAGCCTGGACACGGCGCTGTCTATCCATGTGTGGGTCCGTGTGTGGCCATGCTGTGCTTCTGGGGCTGCTGGAGGTGAGAAAAGGACTCTGTGCCTGACTTCATCAGCTGATAGAGACATTATTATTCATCTCCCAGCACCTTGTGTAGGGATGCAAAGAGCTTCTGGAGTTTTTGACTTCCATTCCCTGGTGGGAGCCATTCGTGCCTCTGTCACACTCATTTCTCTTCCAGTGGGACTTTCCCGAGCATTATTTCTCCCATATTTCCCTTTCCTTCCTAGGCCCTGTACAGCCCTCAGCCTTCTACTCCCTTCCCCAGTGCCAGTAGTCTGAGATGCACAAGTTTGCTTGGCAGTATTTCCAGAACCAGAAGACAGTTGTTTTCTTATAAATTAGAGTATCTGTGGCCTTGCCAGCAGTAATGACTGAGACTGAGCTGCTCCCACCCCCCTGAATCAGGCTGGCAGTAAGAGAGGATGGTATTTGTGTTACACTTCCAGTGTTGCAGTGTTGAAATAAAATAAAAAATCATGGGGCAGTTCAAAGCAATTAAAGTGTGAGGGCCTGGCTCAGCTTTCCAAACATACCTACGTGTTCATCTGCCCTGCAGCATAAATCAGCTCTGGCTCACGAAGCTGTGCTGGGTGAGGAATGGCTCTTACCAGAGACTCTTGCAGCCCCAGTGTGTTTATTTAATGTGGCAAAAGAAATCTATGACTCCTTGTATGTCTGTGTATAAGAATCTCATCACTCAGACAGTTCTGCTCTCTTGGCTTAGCAGTTCAGAACTGTTACTAAGATTTCTCTTCCCTGCACTGCAGCACCATAAAGAACACTCTGCCTGGAGAGGGCGAGTCAGCACAATTGGGAACTTGCCCCTGTTCCCCAGGATATCTGTATTTGGGTACAATTCAACACTTGTGCCTTTTCCCACAGAGGTAGTTATAGAACGAGCTCCTTCCACTTTCTGATCAGCTGTGGGCACGTGAAGTTTGATTCCTCCTGCCTTTTCATATCCAACCATCATTTAGTGGAACATCCTTTCCAGCAGCAGAGGAGGCAATGATGAGAGAGAAGAGTTTCCACTGGAAGGAAAACCCCTGTAAGATCTATTCAAATCCACCAGTTTACTCCCCAAGGAATTATCAAAACCTGCAGGCTTTGGTAATCCCAGATTTCAGCCACAATTCCAGATTTCAGCCCACAGAGTTAAAGGCTGCTGCCTGCTTTCAACAAAGAAAATATTCTTAGATTTCAAGTCTGTTTTAAAATCGCAAACCTTCAGTTTGGTGAGCTCACTTTTTTTTTTGCTTTCAGGAGATGAGAACCTTGACAGTGTGTTGGTTGTAGCTGAAAAAAGTACTCACCAGAGGAGGCTTAAAGCAGGAGTGGGTGCCCAGAGATGTCACTGTATGGGAAAGGTTTGTGTGATGGTTCAGGATGGATTGCAGGACCTGGGAAAATGTGCAGTTGATGTGGGTGAGTATCTCCAGGTTCCTTCTGGAAATGTTACCCAGTCAGGGATTTCCCACTTTCCCTGGAGTGTGGGACAATTTAACAGCAACTTTGCACATAATTTCTTTGAAAACTGTATGAAGAGGTTGGTTTGTATTAGCCAAGAGCCTCAAATGACATTTCAATGGATGCTGGAAATTTCTGGAAGCGTTTTAATAAATTCAAAAATGGACATGATTCTGTCTCATATACAAACTATTAAATCAATAAATTCCACTGTATTTATTCCATATTTCTTCTCTTTGAAGTTAGATCTTTACCAGGCTCTTCTAGACTGATACAGACATGGAAATAAATATGGAAAAAAATTAAATATTACTTTTTGTTTAATATATTGGCCCAGTTCAGTATGACAAACACTGTCAGTTTGTATGTAACTACCCACTGTTCCACATATTTTTTGGTAGCTGACTCCAGTTTTCTTGGATTACAGAAGGGGGCAGTGATGGTTCATTTTTTGGAACTGGAATCCCCAGACAAGAAAAGCTTTGGCTTTATTGAACACAGAAATAGAAGAGCCCAAGACTGCTCTTGCTATTTTGCTTCCTCCTGTTACAATCATTCTTCCTACTTGTTATTTTATTTTCTGCGAGGGAAAAGGTCCCATCTTGGAGGGAATGTGAAGGCAGTGGATTGCACAGAGTGTTCCTGTCACCTTAAAGTTCTGAGATATTTCTATTATTATTAAAATACAATAAAATAGCCCCTGGAAACTGGGTCTTCATGTTTGCTTGGTGTCTTGCTGCATAGCTCAGCCTTCTTGAGCAGAATTCTACCCTGTCATGTTCAGTCTCTGCTGTTGGAGAAGCCTAAATACTTCTTTAAAAGCCTTATAATTAATTAACCAAGTTGATTTTCGTACAGTGGAATCAAAATAATACCTGTGATATGTTTATTTTTGACCAATTATTAAAACCTTCCATTCCAGATTTGGTGAGATCATAGACATACAGCCCTCAACACATTCCTGGGCTGAAAATGCTTTATTACTTTATTACTTTATTGTGCATAAAATCTATTTCCAAAAGAATTCTCCAGAAACAGAATAATTCTAGAACATTTCTCAGGTTACAAAAGGACATATAATCTTCCATTTTTTTACTAAAACACACTGGGAAGAAAAACAACCTTATCCTGGATTTTTTTTGAACTTCAGTGCCCACATCACTAATATTTCAATCAGATCACTTCTCCCAGGCGTCCTGCCATAGGATCAGGGCTTCTTCTGGAAGTACAGCTGCTCACAAATCTTATTTCTTGAGGAAGCCCTTTAGGGTTAGGGGGTGTCCTTTTGGGGTTATGTGACTGTGCTCTGCCTTGTGTTTGCTCCCAGCAGTGTCTCCAGGTGTTCCCAGGGCAGGGCTCCAGCTGCAACCATTTACCTCGTCCCACCAGAGCCTATTTAAGCTGAGCCTCTCCCACCTGGGCCCTTCCTGAAAGATCCTGGAGGTGAGAAGATGTTGGATCATCCTCTGCCAAGGAACAGCCAGAGGGGTGAGTGGTCAATGTGTGGCAGCAAAGTTTGCTCTGAAAATATCAATAACTACTGAAATGTCCTGAAAGAAGCTTCTCTGAACTCCAGAAGTTTTTTAAGGGGGGCATCAAAGCCCTTGAGATTAAACACAACAGGGGTTTTATGTGTTTAAACTTAACAGTGTTAAGTCTGTAGACCCAAGCTGGGAAATTATACCAAATATACAGTTCATAGCACTTAAGAAAGGGAGCTGGAAGAATTTGAGGTGGTGTGTTTGAAAGCTGGTGTTAATGAAGTTGGTATCTGCTTTTGGCAGATCAAACAGTCCCTTTATTTCCCTTATTCAGGGATCAGCAGGGTGACATTAAGTATTTGTGGATGCTCTGCTTTGCCAAGGTCATTTTAATTAACCAAAATAACAGCAGGCGATAGAATATTGGATCTAAAACCCAGATAACAGTGGGGATAAATGAGGAATAATTCCAGAGGTGTTGGTAATGCGTAAGTGGTATCACACTTCATTTTATACAGAGGTATGTGCAGAGCCTTTAAAATAAACTCATTTATTTAGGCAATCAATCTCTGCTGAACAGTCAGAAGCCAAATTGTAATGTGTCGATGGCAGCTTTTTAAATGGCTTTACAAATGTCTTTTGTTTTCTGGGTTTTAAGCTCCATTAAATTGGTCAAACTGATGCTCCCTGGATGGGTGAAACAGGCAGTGCAGCAGCAGAGAAGAGATATTTGTGATTGAGGGCCAGCAAAGGCTGCTGGGGAAGTGATTTTTACATGTTAATTTTATTAAGACAGTTGAACTCTCTGTAACTCCAAGTAAAGAATTACTTAGAGTTATTTTCATTAGGAGGCAGATTAATAGGGATGGTATCCATAAAAGCCCTGCAGTTGAAGCAAATCACATCAGGGACAAACTGAATGCATCCCAGATACTCATAATTCCACTAAATTCCAGGTCTAGCACTAAATGTGTAAGGATGGCATTCCCCCTATGGATTTGGCTGCTTTGGCAATGCACACTCTGCTTCTCTATCCCCACTTTTGATGCCAAATGCTTGGAAAATATTCCTTTAATTACCTAAGGTCAGCTTTATTTAAAAAACCCAAACTGTGGCCCTGCTTATGCTCAGGTGGCCATTGGAGCTCGATGGGGAATGTGGATTTAACGCAGAGCAGCTTCACCTGGTGTTCCTTAACTCAGAACCCTCAGTAAGAGCTGTGCTTCTGCCCAGCAGAACAGCCCTGGCAGCTCTGCTGTGTTAGAAGAGATTCACTTTCCCCTCTGCATTTTAAAACAAAGGCAGAACTCAGGGAAATTCCTGAGATACACAGAGGCACCCTGGAGGATGGGTGGGAGGAGCCAAGGGAGGGTGCTGTGGTGGGCAG